GAAGGAGGGATGTGCATCAGGGAGAGAGGGACGGGGACTACCAGGGAAGTAGGGGTGCCAGCAGGACCATCTGGACTGCAAACCCCATCCTGTGATCGCCTGTGTACCCCATGAGGATCCCTGGGGTCAGTCCCCTGGGCGTGCCAGTCCCTGCAGGACACTGAGGCTGATCCATCCCCAGGTGCAGCATGGTGGAGGTGACGGTGACCCCGCAGTCCTCACTGGCTGACCGGGCCGGGCAAAAAAAACTGGCTGACCGGCCCGTGCAGGTGCGGGTGAAGGGCCTGTCCCCATCCCAGCTCGTCACCGTGCGCACGTGGCTGAAGGACGAGCAAGGCGAGCGCTTCCAGGCCAGAGCCTTCTTCCGCGCCGATGCCACGGGAGAGGTGGATCCCACGCTCCACGCCGCCCTGGGGGGCAGCTACTCCGGGGTCTGGCCCATGGGGCTCTTCTGGTTCCTGCAGCCCGACAGCCTGTTCCGCCGGCTGGTGAAGCGGGTGCGGCTGGAGTTGTTCAATGGGCTCCAGCTGGGCACGGACCCTGCGGAGCAGCCGCTGGGATCCTGCCAGGCTGAGCGGTGGTATGTGGGCCCTGGAGTGCAGAGAGTGCCTGTCCGTGAGGGAAGGGTCCGCGGGGCCCTCTTCCTGCCACCCGGTGAGCACTAGGGAATCCTGGGATGGACAGTCTTGGGACCCTTGGGATGCCCTGCCTTGAGATCCTGGGATACCTAACTTTGGGAACCTTGAGACCCTCAGGGTACTCAACCTTGCACCCCCAGGATTCCCAGCCTTGGGATCTCTGGGATACTGAATCTTGCAATACCTGGGATAATAAATCTTTATACCCCCGGGATGCCCAACCTTGCATCCCTGGAATGTCCAGCCTTGGGCCCCTTGGGATACCAAACCTTGGGACCCCTGGAATGCCCCACCTTGGAATGCCTGGGATGCAGGAATTCACCGGTGGCTTCTCAGCTCTGAGGTTCTCCCTGTGTTCCTTCAGGCCCAGGACCCTTCCCAGGGGTGATTGACCTGTTTGGGGGTGCTGGGGGGCTGATCGAGTTCCGGGCAGGACTACTGGCCAGCCGAGGTTTCGCCGTGCTGGCCCTTGCCTTCTTTGCCTACGACGACCTGCCCAGGGCCCTCACCCAGCTCGACCTCGAGTACTTTGAGGAGGCAGCAGAGCTGCTCCTTCGCCATCCCAAGGTGAGTCCTGGAGTATGCAGAGGGGCACCTGGGAGCTGGAATGTCCTGGGGACTGGGGGCATCCTGGTGAGTGGGATATTCAGGTGACCAAGGATGTCCTAGTGGTGTCCCAGGAGTGTTTTGAGCACCAGGGATGTCCTGGGGACTAGGGGCATCCTGGTGAGTGGGATGTCCAGGTGGCCAGGGACATCCCAGCACTCTCCCAGGGATGTCCAGGTGACCGGCTATGTCTCAGTAATATCCCAGGGACTGGGGACATCCCAGTGAGCAGAATGTCCTGGTGAGTGGGACATCCCAGTGATTTGGGGGTGTCCTGGTGACTGAGGACATTGCAGTGAGGACATCCTTGTCCTGATGCACGGGGATGTCCCAGTGAGCAGGTTGTCTTTGTGACTGGGAACATCCCAGTATGGACATCCTTGTCCTGGTGACCAGGGATGTCCCAGTGAGTGGGTTATCCCGGTAACTGGGAACATCCCAGTGAGGACAACCTCAGCTCCCAGCCAGCTCCATGTTCCCCCACTCCAGGTTCGAGGCCCTGGCCTGGGCGTTGTCGGTGTCTCCAAAGGTGCAGAGGTGGCCTTGGCCATGGCCACCTTCCTGCCACAGGTGGTGGCCACGGTGTGGATCAATGGCACAGCCTACCTCCACGGCAACCCCTTGGTCTACAAGGATGTCCGTATCCCACCCATTCCCTACTGCACCGAGCACGTGACTTTCACTGAGGTGGGAGCATTGGACAACTCCAGGATCTTTGCTGATCCCCGGGATCCTGCGTACCGTGCCTCGGCCATCCCCGTGGAGAAGATCCGGGGAAAGGTGCTCTTTGTGGTGGGAGAGGCTGACAGGAGCTTCAACAGCAAGCTGTTTGCCCAGCTGGCCCTTGAGCGTATGCCTCCGCAGAGTGGGAGGATCCTGTCGTATCCCGGCGCCGGACACCTGATCGAGCCCCCTGGCTCACCCCTGTGCAGCAACTCCAGCATCCGAGGAGCACCACGGCCGGTGGCATGGGGAGGGGAGCTTGAGCCACATGCCAAGGCCCAGGAAGATTCCTGGCGGGAGATTGTCCAGTTCTTGGAACTCCAGCTGGGATTGACTGCCACCATGAAGCTGTGATGGCTGGAAGGGGATTGGCACTATGGGGAATAAAGTGTCACCTGATGGCTCCTGCCTGTGCTTCTGGGGGGTCCTGCTAGGGGCATGAGTGGGACACATATTGAAGACAGATTAGATATATCCTGGATGTATGTAGGATTTATATTGGACATACATTGGACATACATGTAGGACATGCACAGGACATATATGAGGTACATATAGGACATATATGGGACATGTACAGGACATATATCAGACATATACATAGGACATATATGGGACATATGCTTGGATATATATGGGACATATTGGATGTGTACAGGACATATCAGACATATATGTAGGACATACATGGGACATGTATGAGACAGACATATAGGAAATATATTGACATATCAGACATATAGAGGACATGTAAAAGATCTATACAGATGTATAGGACATACATAACATGTCAGACCTGTCATGCACATATGGGACATAGATCAGACATATATAGGTCACATACAGGTCATATTTAAGACATATTGGACTTATCAGACAGATATATGGGCAACATATATTGGACATATATTGACAGAGGATGTATATAGGACATAGATCTGACATGTATTGGCATAAGACATATATCAGACATATTGGGCATAAATCAGACATCTTGGAGATATATAGGATGCATATTTAATATACATAAGGGCATCAGACTTAGGACATACACAGAAGACAAACATATGTGACGTATAGGACATATAGGACATATATGGGGCATATATAGGACATATTGTACATGTATTGGTTATATATATGACACAGATTGGACATATGTAGGACATGTATAGAACCAATAATTTGCATACAGGACATATGTAGGGCATATATCAGACATGTACAGTACACAGGACATTTATCAGACATGTATAGGCCATATATAGGACTTAGATTGGACATATAGGACATAATTAAACATATACAGGACACGGACACATTTTGAACACTTATAGGACATATGTCAAACATATAGGACATATCAGATGCATATGGGACACATAGAGGGCACATAATTCCCCTGGAAATGCTGAGGACAGAGGGTTTGATGCCCCCAAAGGCTGAGGCTGGTGCCTGGGCTAAGCTGGAGGGTGACAAAGGGACACTGGGGCAGGGAACAGGGGATGGCTGTGCCTGTGGCCCTGGGTTGGGCAGGGAGGGTGACTCAGGTTAATCCGCAATAAAGATAAATCCCAGACGGGAAACTGCCAGAAAGGGAAGCAAAGAGAACCCACAAAGTGCTCCATGGACTTTGGCTTCCCTGTGGCACTGCCAGCAGAGCACAGCAGGGATTTGGGGACAACTGATTGATTCTTGGTCCCTAGATCCCACCAGGGCTGTGCCACTGTGTCCCTCAGCACCAGGATCCCAGTCCCATGCTTATCCCAGGAGTGGCATATTCGAATGTCAACACTGTCCCCACCAGCTCTGTGATGGGCACACCCCAACCCCCTCCTCCCACCTGGATATCTTGATCCAGCTGGGCATCCCAGCTCCATTCCCTGCTCTCCAGGACAGTGTTTGTCCTCATACACAGGCTAAGCTTGGTTTGTCCCCCCTGGTCACCGTGACACAGCCACGGGAAGTGACCATAGGGCCAGGGCACCGAGGTCAGCAGCAGCACGGGAGCGAGGAGCCCTGGGCAGAGCTCATCCCAGTCATCTGATCCCAGCCATCTGCATATAAATCCCCATGGGAGAGCCCTGTGTTCTGGCCGTGCCACCACCATGGGACAGAGCTGCTCCTTCCTCCTGCTCCTCTTCCTCCTGTTCCCTCCAGTCTTGCTCCTGCAGTACCGCTATGGCTGTGGACAGCAGGGAATGCAGCTGGTGGTATATCCCCCCCGAGGCCGCTCCATCCGCTTCAAGGTCCTGGGTGAGTGTGGGGACACCCCCTGGATCCCCTTGGAATGCTGAATCACCCCAGGGTTCCCCCAAAACTGCAGTGTTCCCTAGTGATATTCCAATGGAATGAGCTCAATGGGTTGAACAAGCTGTGGGTGCTGGTGGAGGGGGTTCTGCGCACCCACCACCCTGGGGAGCATCACCCACCTGGTGGTGTCACTTCCCCATGGCCATGGTGTCCCCACAGATGAGTTTGGCGCCCGCTTCGAAGTGGCCAACTGCTCCATCTGCCTCCACTGGCTTAGCTCTGCGGAGGATGGCGCTGTCATCTTCTCCTCTGGCTACGAGGGCTGCCATGTCCTGGAAAAGGTGACACTCCTGTCCCCTCTGTGGTCACCTCAAGTGGTGCTGGCAGGATGAGGGTGACCATCCCTTGTGTCCCACTTCAGGAGAACCGCTACATCCTGAGGGTGCAGCTGGAGGAGCTGCTGCTCAGTGGTGTCTTGGCTGCTTCCTACGAGGTTAACATGACCTGCCCAAAGCCTGATGGCTCCGAGATGCTCCCACGTGGCAACTCACATGCTGAGCAACACCAGGACCAGGAGAACCGTAGCTTCCTCTCCCAGCCTGGCCTTCTGCACCATGTCTCCCAGTCCTCCCTCACCCTTGTGGGATCCCAGCTCTCGACACAAACCCATTTGGAGCAGGTTCACCCCGTGGCACGGACCGAGCCCAACTCATTGCATTCCCAGTCCAACCCAGTTCGCTCAGGGCTTCAGTCTCAGCCTGGAGGGGTTCTCTCCATCACCCAAACCTGGGGGGGGTCCAGCCACCCAGGTGGGCAGCATCCCCAGCCCGGGGGGCTGGCCCAGACAGGGCTGCACCCAGGGCCTGTACGCCCAAATCAGCCTGGGCTGGTGTACTCTGGGGGGCAGAATCGACCAGGGCATCATACAGGACCATCTACAACCCAAAACCAGCCTGGGCATGTGTACTCTGGGGGACAAAATCGACCAGGGCATCATACAGGACCATCTACAACCCAAAACCAGCCTGGGCATGTGTACTCTGGGGGACAAAATCGACCAGGGCATCATACAGGACCATCTACAACCCAAAACCAGCCTGGGCATGTGTACTCTGGGGGACAAAATCACAACCCAAAACCAGCCTGGGCATGTGCACTCTGGGGGACAAAATCGACCAGGGCATCATACAGGACCATCTACAACCCAAAACCAGCCTGGGCATGTGCACTCTGGGGGACAAAATCGACCAGGGCATCATACAGGACCATCTAATCTACAACCCCAGCCTGGGCATGTGTACTCTGGGGGACAAAATCGACCAGAACTTCACCCGGGGTTTGTACCCCAAAACCAGCCTGGCTCAACGCTCACTGGTGCTCACACTCTAGCAGGATTCCTGCGCCCAGGAGCTCAGTCCCCAAACCAACCAGGACCAGCCCACTCCACCCTTTTATCCAACTCCCAGACTGGGTTCCACCACCCTGGGTTCAATAGCCATCACAGACCGAGTTTAACACTCCCAAACTTCACCCGGGGTTTGTACCCCAAAACCAGCCTGGCTCAACGCTCACTGGTGCTCACACTCTAGCAGGATTCCTGCGCCCAGGAGCTCAGTCCCCAAACCAACCAGGACCAGCCCACTCCACCCTTTTATCCAACTCCCAGACTGGGTTCCACCACCCTGGGTTCAATAGCCATCACAGACCGAGTTTAACACTCCCAGGATTCCACCCACAGCCGGGTCTGATCCACCAGCCAGGCCTGGGACGCCCAGGGCTACAGCCTGCAGCCCAGCCTGGATTGCTGCATCCTGGGATTTACTCCCAGCCCAGCCTGCTTCACCCCACATCTCTCTTCTACCCAGCAGGGGCAGGTAAGGTGGCAAGGTGGGATGGAGTGGGGCATGGGGAGCTGGGACAGGAGGAAACAGCCTCAGGTTGTGCCAGGGGAGGTTTAGGTTGGATATTAGGGAAAAGTTGTTCATAGAAAGGGTTGCCCACCCCTGGAACAGGCTGCCCAAGGCACTGGTGGAGTCACCATCACAAAAAACATGTGGATGTGGCACCACATGGATGGGACATCATGGCCTTGGCAGTGCTGGGGGAATGCTGGGACTCAATGACCTGAGAGGGCTTTTCCAACCTCACACTTCCAAGATTTCATACTTTGTTGGGAGATGCTGGGTAGGAGGGGAGCTGCTGTGAGTGTCCTCTCTGTGCCCCCCCAGGCCCCCATCTGACACGGGAGCAGTGCCAGGTGGCTGTGGGCAGGATGCCGTGTGTGGCTCCGCAGGGCCGGGACGGATGTCTCCAGGCAGGATGCTGCTACGATGACATGGACCGTGTGACACCTTGCTATTATGGAAACACGGGTAGGATACTCTTGGGGTGCCCTGAGGATCCCTCCCCAGCCATGGTGGGGTGCTCAGGGAGTGACAGAATCACTCCCTGGTGTCACAGCCACCGTGCAGTGCCTGCTGGAGGGCCACTTTGTCCTGGTGGTGCCACGGGGCCAGGCCACACAGCCCTACAACCTGGACAGCGTGAGGCTGGCCACCAGCCAG